GCAGACCTCTCCTGACCCGCCCGCTGCTCCCCTCAGTAGTGTACTTTGTCAGTCGGCCTGTTCTGCTCTCCACTCTAACTCTGGTGAATCCTCTCACCACCCCAGTGCCTCTGGCCTGTACCCCAGTTCTGTATGCATAAATAAATAACACTTCAAAAAAAAAATGCTGTGCGAAAAAGGTGAAGGACACCTGTGCACAGTGGAGCAGGGGGTGGCTCGGGCTGTCGGGTGGCTCTCAGCTCTGGCCTTCGCTCTAAATGCTGACCCGTTTCAGAGGCTGGGGCCTGGTCAGCAGGCCAGGAGCCTCGGCCTGCAGAATATTTCTCTGAATGCAGTGCCAGCGGAGCCGCCCCCGAAGCTGCAGTCTCCACAGTTTGGGAGACTCAAACACAGGTGCATCGCCATCAGAATCTCAGTTTCTGACATCTCAGCTTTTTTAAACTGAAAAACAGTTTACTTAAAGACATAAAGAAACACACAAGTAGGAAAAGTAGGATGCAGCACTTGCCCCATGCTAAATGAATTCTCGAGCAGATGGCCCTGTCCCTCTCCCTCCCCACCCCTCTCCCTCCCTGCCTCTCGCTCATAGATGATTGGAAGAGAACTCCACCAACATGGAGCACTGCTGTAAGCAGAGAAAATCGCCATGTTTGGATTATGAACATCCTTTACAAGCCCCACGTCCTCCCGACGGGCCACAGACTCTGCCAGTGCCCATTTAGCTGACCAGGCCGGCTGGGCACAGGGCCCCTTCTCACTGGAACCTTTGTGCCTCTTCCCACTTCCCCACTTGCAAAAGCGCCGTCTTGGCAGACTGAGGGTTCCTGGTGAAGGGTGGATTCTGCACTTGGCTTCCTCTGGACACCCCCCCCCCCCGGGCTCTTGCCCTTGAACGAACCTACCAGTGAAGGAGATTCAGGCCGCTGCTTTCCCTGCGCGCCCCCAGCTGCCGCCAGCCCTGCAGTCGCCATCAGCGCGTCGCGCTTGGTTGTGTCGGTGTACCCCAGGCTAAGGAACAACAGCTTTTTTTTTTAATTGTAGTTTATTTTTACATCATTTTGTACATTTTTCCATCTCAGTTGTAATCCCCATGGGCTTCCCATCCCCAGATCACCTGTAGGAACAACAGCTTTTTAAATCTCGTCGTTTTCATCAGATATTTACTGACAGATTTTCTTACTTCCCTACTGTATAGTGGACTCTGTAGGATTAGCCCTAGGGGAGATTATTTTGTACTTAGCCTGCAGGAATTGTCTGACAGGCTGGCTGTTTTGATTTTGGATATAATGAACACCAAACCTCTTGACATCTTGCGTTTGCTGCTAGAAACTTGGTGCAATAGTATAGAATCATGATGCAGGTTTTTATTACCCCGTTCCTGGCTTCCTTCTGCCCGTACATAGAGCCTGTACATCCCCCGAAGCCACTTGAAATTGCCTGAGCAAAACCAGTGAGGAGAGATGCCTACTTGGAGGCTGCAGCTCTGTTCACTGGGTCCCCCAGAATCTCACGGGCTGTCCTGCCTTTCTCTCCACAGCAGCAGTGGGGGTGGGACTACTCGGGCTCCTCCAACCTGCGCGAGCTGAAGCTGCTGCTGGAGGAAGCGGTCATGCTGCGCCGCCTCAAATGCGACGTCCTTTCCCAGCTGCCCGCCAAGCAGCGCAAGATGGTGATGGTCGTGCCGGGCCGCTGCAGCGCCAAGGTCCGGGCCGCCCTGGACACCGCTGCCAAGGAAATGACCAAGGACAGCAGTGTGAGTCCGGGGCGAGGGCGGGGGGAGGGGGGTCTCCGGGGCTTAGCCGGCATCGCCTGAGCTGTGCCCCGCAAGCCTTCCACTCCCTGGGCAGGCACAGGGGCCGCTTTCATTTCCAGCTCGCCCAGCCTGCTTCGAACAGCTCTCCTGAATTGCAGTTTAGTGCTCGCGTAGGTCATTGTTGTCCGATGATCAGGCAAGTAAGCCTTGGGCAACTTCAGGACGGGGCTCTGTTCTGGAACGAGAAAGCCTCAAGTCTAGGAGCAGGGGTCGGCAGTTGGTCCCCCACACGCTCAGTGTGTGGGTTAACCTCTAACTCCTGTGGCATGTGCCTTCACAGAGTAGCAAATTGACATTTGTATAACACTAGTTTCCCAGCCCCCTCCCCAGACTCTTTTATTACAGAAGCTTATGGTTGGCAGCAAGTTGGCATCTTCATTTTACAGAGAAGGCAGCTGAGGTTCCCAGAGATTTTGATTTGCCCAAGATATTGGCTGCTTTGTGATGGAGCTGAAGCCGTAACCATTTTTTCAGGACTCTTTTCTGCTGTGGGGGTTTATCTTTTCAAAACACTTTCATTTCATATCTCTCTTTGGTGTCATACTGTGCTAAGTATAATGAAGTATTCTACAATAGCTCCATTTCTTTCCTCTTGGGACAAAACTTTGCAACTTCCATTGCCAAGAAGATAAGTCATTGACATTTTGTTTGTTTGTCATTGGCGTTTTTGACATTATCATAACGCATTATCTGGCCTTCATATTACCCTGTATAAAGAAACTTAGATGTAGATGAGATCTCTGCCTCTGGGAAGTTACAGAATAAATCCGAATGTCGGGAGACAGAAAGCACAGCGTTTAATGTTGTTTTACCATGTGCACGTGGGGAGCAGGATAGCTGGAGACGAGCGGATGCCTGGTGTGCTGTCAGGCTCTATTTGATTTGTGCCGTATTTCATGCAGTCGTCTGCGTGTCTCGGATCTCCATTGTGGAGTTTCCAAACTGAGTTCTGCAGCACTGATGTGGATGTGCAAGCTAGTGGTTCTCAGATTAGCTTTCAGTGGACCTACGAGCAGAGCCAGGCTGGCTCTGTTGCTAGAATAAGCCTTGGGGGTCTTTTTCTATTTCTAGAGATAAAATTTCAGTGACCGGATATGTTATTCTTAGACCTTTTCAAGTGTTTTCTTAGAATTTTCTAAACCTCGGCTGCCTGCTACTCTAGCTTTTGCCCACTAACAAACTGCCAGACAAGAAAACAACTAGTATAGTTCCTCAGGGTGAATGGGTAGCTGCTCTTCCCAGACAGGATTTTAGATCATGAGCCTGATCTAACCTGAAAGCTTAATTTCTCAGTTTGCTAGCAGTGATGCGCTGCTACTAGAATGGAGATCAGGACTAATGTTCTATCACTTCCACTAGCAATACAAATCCCTTGCATTCTGTCAGATGTTTTGATGCTTTCTTACCTAAAAAAGGAAGCTGAGGCCTGTCTCTGAGCTTTAGTGCAGAAAAAGTGCCACTTGTGTGTGACTGTCACCTCAACTGCTTCACCCTGGAGTCTTTTTTGTTTTGTTTTGTTTTGTTTTGCATAGAAGAACTGGGGTACAGGCCAGAGGTGCAGGGTGAGAGGATTCACAGAGACAGTGGGGAGCAGAACAGGCGCATTGACTAAAACACACTGCTGAGGGGACAGTGGGCAAGACAGGAGAGGGCTGCTGCATCATGTGGGTCAGCTCCCCGACAGGCCATTGCCATGATAGAACTGAAACTTAACTCCTGGGCCCCCGGGGGGCCACCCTGGCGTCTTGATGCCATTTTGCAGTTTATAAAAGCAAAGCCTAGACTGCAGTGTGCTGCTTCCAGAATCCAGCTGAGAAAGAGCCTGCAGCACTGCTCATTTTAGTGCTGGACACTTGCTGCCTGCTTCCTTGGGGTCTTGGGAAAATTAAAAGGTTACCCCTAAAGGGAGCAATTGTGTTTGGTACAGATTATTTTCAGCATGAAGCTGAAACCAGATATAAATTCTTTCCGATGATAGATTAACCCTTGCAAAAACTCCCTTTTGTGTTCTTTACTGTAAATTCATTTTTTATCATGGAAAATCCAAGTAGTAAATGAATTTATAAACTTTGTGCTTTGGACATGAGAGTATTTCTCACTCGAAAGCCCACTCACTTGGCGCCTCTGGTCAGTGGGCCTGCCGGGAGCGGGCCGAATGGCCACAGACATCCCTGTCACACCCTGGCTGGCTGTGAAATGCCGAATGGAAACAGTTAAAGTGGGGTGTTGTGGTTTTATGGTTTTAGTCAAATAAGGAGGGCTGTGAATCTACGGAAAGTACCCTTCCTCGTTTCCTTACACTGAGCCCAAGTTTCCTTGAAAGTTTCACATTCTGGTGGCTCCAGAAATCCCTGCTGATCTGTCCAGAAATGATTCTTCTTTTGTTCCTCACCCCTTCCCATCTGGGGGAAGCTTTAAATCACAGAAGCCACGGTGAGGCAGCCAATTTATAAAATAGAAGCTAGAATGAAATCTTTGTCTCATATTCAGCTGAAATAATAGATGCCTCTTCACAGGCTAAGGAAAAGTGATTCTCATCCTCTTTGCCTAAAGCCACTTTTTGATCCGCAAGAGCAGAAACAAAGAAGTGGAACAAGCCCGTGAAGACTTCCTAGTGACAGTATCCAGGTCACCCCTTGCCTTTTGACTGTCCATTCAAATTCCAACATAAAAAAATAAATTCAAAACCCCACTGGATCTGATAATCATGAAAATCTAAGAAGCAGGAACAAAAGATGCAGGATATTTAAAATGTCCTGCTAAGGGTGGCAAAAGAAGTGAGATCATTAATGGGCCAGTGTTATGTCTTCCCGGGGGGATTTTTTGGTGTGTTTTGTTTTTAAGATAAAATTATTAATTTCTCCCACGTCAAAACTATAGTAGATGTCTAGTGTGTATAACCTGCAAAGTATTAATTAATAAGTCAATAACTCATTTAATATTTTTATTATGACACTATGAGAAAAGAGCCAGCCATCTTCTGCGTCATATAAAATTTTGGCTTAAATCACGTAGATATTTCTTTCTGTAAAATGTATGTATATTTTACTTTAAATTACGTGTTATTTATATATACATTTCAATATCACGTAAGTATGTAATAAGTAATACACTTTTTAAAAGAATTGAGATCACACAAATATACATCCCATGGGAAGGAAACAGGGCACTAAAAGTGCGTAATGAACACTTTTCTATGTTGTTAGATGTTCTTTTAAAACATGGTATTTTAAAAATATATTGTATTCTCCAACATGGCCATATCGGTTTGTCAGTCATTTTTAGCTAGAACTTGGAGTTATTTCAGTTACTCACTATGCTGAGTACACCACCCTGAAAACGAGCTTGCCTGTGAGTTTGTGCACATGCCATTCTGACGTGGGGGCAGATCTTACACAATAAAACGCTGCGCCCTGGGCCTAGCCAGAAGGCTTCTGGTACAGATCACCCCCAGCAGCAGGCAGTGAACGAGTGCCGTGTATGATGAAGGAATTTGGTTCTCCACACCCTCTTTAGCTCTAGGCGTTAAATCTTGGCCAAGGTTTGGAGGTGCTTCTAGTCATTTCTCCAACTGTGTCGCTTCTGCCTTTCTTATTAGCAGGTGTGGAGTGAGTATCTGTGGGCAGGGGATTGCGCTCGGAAGAGTCTCTGGAGGACACAGGAGTACGATTGTGCTGATGCTAATGGGGGGCTGGGGGTGAGTGGGTGGGAGTATTGGGGGGGGGGGCGGGCGTCAGCTTAAAGCTGCACACATTGAGAGAGGTGGTCAGTGTGTGTTACTTTAGTCCATCCTACCAGGGATGGCATTAGGTGAGAGGCCTAACCTGCTGCAGGGACCCAGAGGGCACAGATGAGGTTGTATGTGTGGCCAGGGATCACTGTAGTCTCCTCTGGGCCTGTGACTAAAATCTAGTTAAGACACATGGCCATGATGTTGCCGCTTCAACATGAGTTGAAAATTGGAACACGACCACATACTGGGGGCACAGTGGCCACACGGCCACAACGTGCATGGGGGTGAATGGGCCTCCTGCCCTGTCAGTGCCCACCACACATGCTGGTGATTCTCGGGTACCTATCTTTCTCGTCAAGGCCGAGAAGAAAGGCATTTCCAAATGAGGACACCCTTTGACGTAGGCAGCTGTTCCACTGTCCACAGTGTTGGTAGTTACAGGCGCCCCCTGACTTTGCTGCTTTCCTGAATTAGTGCGTACCCCAGAGGAGTGAGTTCAGGGCCACAGAGGTTACTGCTGTTGGATTCCATCTTTATTCCACGAGGAAGCTATCAAGATTCCATCTTTATTCACAACATCAGTCCCTGGTCTCCCGGGGCCCCAGCGGGAGTGGCTGCCGGAACCCCTGCTTGTTGGGGGAGGAGGTGTCCGCCTCACCAGTTTTGCTAACAGAGTATCCCCTCTGGCGCCCAGATAATCTCGTTGTTCTGAAACTGTGAGTATCTGCTGTTAGCAGTCTTTATTAGGATTTGATTAGATGCAAACTATAAAGAACATGGCTTCTTCCTGGGAAGTCGATTACCTTACATGGAGATGAGTTAGTTTTTTTGAGATGGAACTGGAATAGACTACTCAGGGGCAGCTGGAATTGATCAGTAAGAGGTGCACTTTATCAATCGGGTGTGGACACACTTGACAGAAGAAAAGGGGAGGCAAAGAGCAGGTAGTCTGGTCACATGTAACATATTGTCACCACACTGCAGTAAGTAGTTGTGCTTAGCAAGACCAGGTTTCAGCTGACGGCATTCACTGTGCAGTGAAGCCCTGCCTGGCGTACCTTTCCAGCGAGCTCCGTGTTCCTACCTCATTGGTTCCTCACAGCAGCTCAGAGGGTGGCAGAGTTGCGATGATGCCATGTCTTCAAGGACCAACCCAGAGTCCAGATAGTTCTGTGAGTTGGTGTCAGTGAGTGTGTCCAGACCAAGAGGCTGTGTTGGGACTTGTGAAGCTCGTGACAGTGATGGCATCATCTTTTCCCAGACTTCTTAGAACAGGAGGTTTTAACCCTCAATTTTGTATCCACAGAAACAGAACCAGAAGCAAGCCCTCATCATGTTCTTCAACAGTACAGCAGAAGCTAAAATCCCATCCATCATGTAAGTGGGCAGCGAGCCCCCCCCGCCTCAGTCTCTTCTAAAAGGGAGCATCTGCCACGTTGGTCTGTCAGAATAGTCTGTTCTGTAAGAAATGATCCAAGATTAAGATCGTAGCTCGAACGTACAGTTTAGGGTTCAGGTCTCTCGCCCACAGGTGAGGCGGGCTGCCCCTGAGGGTTGCCAGGTGTGCTTAGGACGCTAGGCTGGTGCTTCCTGCTTGAGCCCAGCCTGAAGCTGCTGCCCCTGGTAGGGGTTGACCTGCCAGGAATGGGGGCTTTTCCTCTAGAACACTGGTCACTTGCCTCAGGAAAACTTTAGGGAATTCATGAAAACTGCCTAGTGGGGTTCTCTGGCCTCTCCAAAGTCAAAAGTTTCCACCATTACTCATTTAGATAAAGAGGCGAATATCAGTTTTTTCAAAAGACACAGGCAAGTGGCCCCGTCACACTTAGTTTTCCTTCTGCCATGAAAACAAAAGTTGAAGTAATAATTTCTGTTCTTTACTGACTAAAAAAAAAAAAACACCTCAGTTGTCTGCCTTAGGGAAAGAAAAACCTGCTCATGTTCAGAAATCACTGTGGCACAAACTTGAGGCAATTTGTCTGATTTTTTTGTTGTTTAACATTCTTGTGAGACTCTGGCAGGATAATGGGGCGAGTGATAGAATTACAGCGGACGTGAGCTTAGTGTGGGCAGAGCGACGCCAGGTTGGCTGTGGGGCCTTGAATCAGTGGACAAACTGAGACACACACAGCTTGCCCAGCCTCCAGGTCTCCGGCCTCATCAGCCTTGCCCGCTGCTCCCTTTAATGTGGTAAGAGGCTGAGTTTGCCACATTTTTCAAATCTCAGCTTCTGCTCCAAAGACTGCTGACGTTGGCCAGTTCTCCTCGCCCCTGGGCACTGCCCTTTTCATTTATCCTGATACTGTTAGGAGACTAATGCATGCCAGATGTGGTTTTTATGGCCTGAAAAGTTATCTCTCAGAACTCATCGGAACTGGCCCCAAATCCTTTCTCGTGTGCTGCTGGAATAGCAGATGGCAAGGGTGGGCGTCCTTTCCTCAGGCCCTCAGCGTGTGACCCATCAAATACAGTATCCACTGAAAACTGGGTCCAGAACCACCCCTTTCCCTTAGAAGTTTTAATCTAACCATTTTGCCACTTCATACATAAACTGTGCTCATACCTTGTCATCATCCATTCAGGCTGCTAGAACAAAAATACCATAGTCGGGGGAGTTTAAAAATAAACGTGTTTCTCACAGTTCTAGAGACGGGGAAGTCCAGGGTCAGGGTCAGATTCACCCAGCAGGGGGCCCTTGCCCTGGCTTCCCAGCAGCCGTCTTCTCACTGTCTCCTTCCTTGGTGGAGGGGGCAGGGGCGCACTCCACTCTGAGGTCTCTTTCATGACACTGCTAATCCCATTTCTGAGGGCTCTGCCCTCATAACCTGATCACCTCCAGAAGGCCTCACCTTCTCGTATCATCACTGTAGGGGTTCAGATTTCAACATGTGAGTTGGGGTGAGTGGGGACACAGATATCCAGTCCCTAACATCACACCTTTTCCAGAATTCCATGATAAATCATATGATGTCTTAGAGTTTTGAACCATATTGACATCTTTTGTCTCTACTGTTCAAGTAGAGTTAGGTCACATAGGACTGTTACAGAAACTGAGTGAATCTCAAGTAAACCTTAGACCGCAGGGTCATGTAGCCAGTAAATGAAAATTAGATTATATATCTTAAAACCCCAATTTAGGAAAATTACTTTTTTCCCCTTTTTTGCTGTTTGTTTTTATTTTAATGGGCATCTTTCAATATAAAAGCAGGCTGTTGTAGACAGATATTTCCAGCCTCATAACACAGGGGCTTTGGGGAAGGGTGGAATGGCACAGTTACATCCGAAACATCAGAGGAGGGGACATTAGGAAAATTGGGGCCTGTGGTTTTTATGAGCTGACCAAGTTGATTTGATGGCCTTGTGACTTTTTGATACTGCAGCAATAACTTTTTGTTTATGTCATGGCAAATTTTATGTCTTACAAACTAATTACCACAGATTCTATTAGTATCAACAGTTCACAATTGAACTCAGTTCTGTATCCTCGCTGGCCATGGTGTTGTTTGAAAGTAATTCTTATGTTTAGAGGACAGTTTGTGTACCTCTTCATCACGTTTGTAACAAAAAGCCTTTGCAGTTTGTCCTCTCTGAGGAGGCCCATGGCTCTTCTCTACCCAGACAGCTCATGGGGATGTCTGCTGACTGGGCCGCTCCCCACCTGGGTGGCTGTCTCCCTCCCTGCAAGGCCGTAGTTAGCGATAGGGGTGGGGTGTCGAGAAAAAATACAGTGGATAGAGGAGAGGTAAATCAAGGGGAGAATAAAGACCAAGTAAATAAGATTCCTCACTCCATATCCCTTTGCCCCAGAAAATAATTAGATTACCACTGGCTTACCAGCTAGCCCTGTAGTTTGAGTCTAGCAGTGAGCTAAATTAGAGTGTTCCCTGACCATCTCTTCATTTTATTTATTTATTTTTTTTTTACTTATATCTCAATATTACGCTTCTAGAAATTTGATTGCTGTCAAGAATCCCTTAATCCCCTGCCTGGGTATTTTCAGGCCTATAGGAGAAACTTCAATTTGTATTGAAAACATAATGATAGTACAGCTAAAGTGGAAACTCTTAATATTTTATGTGACCTCAGCTAGTAAGAATATCTCAGTAACAGACCAGCAGTAAGCCATCAAGACACTCAGCATATATGAAGTATGCAGTTTGTGGTGCAAGATGGCTTCCCACAACTTCGAACTTTGCTTCCTCAATTTGAATTACCTGACATGCGGGGAAAGGGCTAGAGGTCAGTTCTCAGAGAATGATGGGAGTGGATGGGGGCAGCAGGTCCCCAAAGGTATCTGCTACAGGTGCAGTCACTCTTCAGTAAGTAACTTCAGCTGGGCGAGTACATGTGTTTAGCTTACTGTGTTGTCATTGTCAAATGCAGTGAATATATAATGGATCTACTGGAAAGCGGAAGAGAGAAGTTTTTAGTGTTTGCACACCATAAGATGGTTCTGGATGCAATTACTAATGAGCTTGAGAAAAAGGTAAGTTCCCTTTGAAATTTAAAAAAAAAAACAACACAACTTTTTTTTAAAGATGTTTTTATTTGTGGTTATAGAACTGGATACAGACCAGAGGTGTGGGCGGGGTTGGGGGGGGTGAGAAGATTCATCATTGCAGAGTGGGGAGCAGAACAGGCAGATTGACAAAGTACACTGCTGAGGGGAGCAGCGGGCAGGACAGGGAAGGTGTGCTGCGCCATGTGGGTCAGCTCACTGGTTGGGGATTGAACTCGTGCTGAAGCTGCGGCCAGGTTCGCAGCTCTGTGCTTTAACCCGTTGCCACCAGGGAGGGTCCACAACATGGCACTTTCATTGTTTGTGTTTGCTACTACGTCGTTTTAAGCAAGCTGCGAGCAGGCATAAAGTCTTCTGCTCACCAGATGGTTTCTGGAAGCAACGGGGAGGAGTTTCTGAAGGGTCTGAACACTCTTTAGCTTCTTGCTTGCTGAATCACAGTGGAATCAAAATTTCTTCCCAGCAGTGTCATGTAACTTCCTGTACTCTTTATCCAGGTAGCCCAGGTGCCTGGCCTTAGCAACGTGGTCCCGCCAGTCTTCCATCACTCTGTGTAAATAATCACAAAATTGACAAGCGGGAATGGCAAAAAGCATTTTCTTACTGGAGACAGTGTTGTATGACTGTCCCCTGCTATGAGATAAAATGAACATCACCAAAGGCTACACACTGTATGTCTGCATTTATTTAACTTTCTTAAAATGAAACATCTGAGTGAGCCCTCCCTGGTGGCGCAGCGGGTTAAAGCACAGCACTAAGAAGCTAAAGCCACTTCAGCATGAGCTTGATCCCATCCCCGCCCCAGAGGTGACCACATGGCGCGGCAGACCACTGCTCCCCTCAGCAGTGTGCTTCATGGATGTGCCTGTCCTGCTCCCCACTCTGTCTCTGGTGAATCCTCTCACCGCCCCTGCACCTCTGACCTGCAGCCCAGTTCTGTGTGCAAATAAATAAATCTTTAGAAAGAAACATTTGAGAAGGACAGGACGGTGCATTCGGGACAGTGAGGGGTGTCCAGGCGGGAGCTAGGGCAGGGGCAGGTGGAGGTGGGTGTGTGAAGCCTACCAGGGAGACAGCTGTATCACACACGGGGGAAACGTGAGCAAGATTTCAGAGCCGATCAGACACCACACTGTGCTGTAGGTTTGCAGAATGTTCTCATGGGGGGAAATCGGGCAGGATGCACGGGGGATCATTGTTTTATTGCTTAAACTTCCCATGACTCTACCTCAATGTGGATTTCAATTTGAAAGGTATAAGGAAAGCCACAAAAGGAGCATCAAGCGGCAACCTGATGCCCCGCTCAGTTGAGTTCAGAGAGCAGCCGGTTCTGTCCTCAGTTCTGCCTCTAGCGGGGCAGCGGTGCCCCCCTCGTACCCACTGGCTCTCCCCTTGCTCCTGCAGCACGTCCAGCACATCCGCATCGACGGCTCCACCTCCTCAGCTGACCGAGAGCACCTGTGCCAGCAGTTCCAGCTGTCCGAGCGGCACGCCGTGGCTGTGCTGTCCATCACTGCCGCCAACATGGGCCTCACCTTCTCTTCAGCTGACCTGGTGGTGTTTGCCGAGCTGTTTTGGAACCCAGGGGTGAGGGTCACAGAAGACGGGCGTTCCCTTGGCTTGCTCCCGGCTGCCCACAGGCCCGCGTCCCGCTCCTCTCCCGCTGGTCAGCCCCAGCCTCAGGACAGCCTCCCAAGGGTTGAGGTTATCGACTCCACCTTACCAATAGGAAAACTGAAGTTTAGACTCTAGAAGGAGTCAGAGTTGCACTCTGGGAAGCTGGGGCACAGTTAGCTCGAGGGCCTAGCGGTCAGGCAAGGGAGCAAGCACATGCAGGCCAGGCCTGACTCTCCCGCCCCTGCCCCTTTGGTGAACCATCTCTGCCAGCTGCTTTTGCAGATGCTATGTGGTGACCGCTGGGGCATTCCCTGGCCACGGTCGTGGCCACTGGCCAATCAGCTGAGGCTGTGACAGCCCAGAGAAAACATGGCTTGGACTCAGCATTTTCTCTCGACGTCCAGAAAGAAGTCATTTCCTCTCGTGTTCCTGCACGAGAAGCCACTTTCATGCGGTCGACTCACAGTGGACGGCTGTGCGATGGGTGGACTTTGTGGCTGAGAGTGTTCGATAGTAGGAGCGTGACTCGTGTGGCTGTACGCCCTGCAGAGCGCAGCTCCGTGTGAAAGACCACCCTGCCTCCAGTCAGGGGCCTCCTCTCGGGTCTGCTGTGCTTGTTTACATAGCCACAAACTCTCTCCCGGGGAAGAGAAGTGTGGGTTTCCTTCAGGGGCCCTTCACCACACAGCTGGACAGCAGCCTGAACCCAACACCGAGAGGCCGTGTGCAGCTGTCCGGCTGCAGGCTCGGCTCCCAGCCTTTGTTGCGTTGGCTTTGTCTTCTGTAGAGGATGGGCCACCGGTGGTGGAGGTGGGCCTGCCGCCACCTGCGAAGGCTGAGGAGGAGGGTATGGGAGGCTGGGGCCGTGGGCTGAGCTGTGTGGGTCTTGACCCACCTACGTGCCGACTCCCGGGCTGCACAGGTGCTGATCCAGGCTGAGGACCGGGTGCACCGCATCGGCCAGGCAAGCTCCGTGGGCATCCACTACCTCGTGGCGAAAGGCACAGCTGACGACTACCTCTGGTACGGCCCGGGCTGGCCCGGATGTTGGGACCGAGCAAGAGTTGACGCCGACGTTGTATTTCCTTAGCTCGCTAGCTGCTTCCGCCCCTGGCTTCGGGGAGCCCAAGGAAAAGCCTGCCAGTCCCACCCTCCGCTTTCTTCGTGACCTGTGGGTGGCTCACAGGAAGCCTTGAGGGTCCTTTCCCACCGGCCCGAGATGAGGAAGGGGAACTGACTGTGCTGGAGCACTTCCAGCCACACAGGCATTGTTGAGACAGGATGAGGACCGATGCCCCTTACACCCCTCACGGACATGCGTGGGTGTGATAGCCCCTGCTCAGTGCTGCGGGCCACTGGGAGAAAGTGGCTCACTTTGGGCCATGAGTGCTTCATCCCACTCCCATTTCTGCCTGCTGGTGCCAGTTTCATGACTGCTTCACCAGTTTCCACTGCTGGCGTCGTCTCCAGCCTCGGCAGCTGACTCCACTGCCTTCTTTGTTGAGGGGATTTGTTAACTGCCCAGCTCATACAAAAGTTGGTTGTAATGAGACAGCATTTATCCCCACACATCTGCCAGCAGAAAAAAATTGACCCCGCTGACATGAGCCAAGAGGCAGCACTGTGGGGTGGCGCTGTGCTTCGAGAGGGGCAGGTGTGACCCTGCACAGCGAGGCCCCCGGGAGGAGGACGAGGTCTGGTTTTCATCAGGCTCCATGCAGGTTGTACTCACTGTAGCTCCTTCCTCCCCAACAGGCCCCTGATTCAAGAGAAGATTAAAGTTCTGGGTGAAGCTGGGCTTTCTGATGCCAATTTTTCAGAAATGACAGAAGCTAGTGATTACTTCTATAAGGTAACAGCAGTGCATGGGTCCTGGCCGCGTGGTTAGCAGGAGGCATCAGGCCCTTGGGTCCTGAGCAGCAGGGTGTGGACCTTCCCTGAGAGCTCCCCCAACCTTGGAGCAGGAAGTGACTGGCCTGTTACCACTCTAGTTCAGTCCATGTTTGCCTCCCTTATGGAGAACTGATGGCATCAACTCCTACTGCTTCTGATGTGGCCTCGGTTCTCATAAACCAGAGTTTCTAAATGCTGTCTCTTCCGCCCGGCTGTCAGAAGCTGACAGAAAACTCCCTCTGGCAACTGTTGAATTGTTGCAAAAAAAAGTCCATAGCAACACCACACAGCAGGGCTGCCATGGGAACACGTCCCCAGCACAAACCGGGAGTGTTTAAAATAGAGTTTTGCTTTTATATAGCACTTTCCCCTCTGTTGATGCATTTTATTCTCACTGTCCCCCATTTTTTAGAGGGGTGAACTGAGGCACGCAGAGCAGTAACACTTGCCCAGAGCCGTGGGTGCTCTGAAGCCGGCCCGGCGTGTGCCTGTGACCGCCCCTTGTTATGAGGAAGCTGAGAGGCTGGTGAGCACCTCCCGGGACCAGGGGGCCCGGCCGTCAGAGTTGCTGAGGAAGGCCGCGGCCTCTGCGGAGGCCAGGTGGGGCGGCCTTGCTTCCTGCCCTGATGCTGCCAGCCCATAAAAGCACAACGGGGAAGCCCAGGTTTCTAGGGCTTTCACCAGCTCACACAGCTGACAAGGGGGAGTGCGGACTCGGGGGATACCGCCTGCTCCTGTTTGCTTCGTGAGAAAATTGATTCTAAGCTCAGAGGTCTGACCTCGTGCAGCAAGACGGCTGGGTCTTCAGGAATCCAAGGGCCCTGTCGTGGGGTTGCCAAGCTGAGTTAAATCGGCAGAGTCTCATGGTGACAGGTGCTAAGAATTAGGCGTCCAAAGGTCGGACCTTGCACCTACACTGCTTACCAATGAAGCACTTTCTTTAGGATACAATTACTGAGATATATAATCATTTTTAAATGTAGAGATTATATTTGAAAATGTAGAATACATTTAAAATGTAGAATACAAATTATCGTTTTAGATAAACATTTAATAAACCAATTTTAGAACAGACTTTTTAATCTTCTAATAAACTAATTCAGTACAATGGTAACTATTTTAAGAGATGTGATTATCATGTGCCTTTTGAAAAGAATGAGCCTTGTTTTTAAAAGATTCGTAACCATTGAGAATGAGTTTCTAAATTATATTTCATAAATACGTTATTTATGCCAGCCTTAGTCTCAGCTACTCTGAATTAGTTAAGAATTTTTATCTCAAGAAAATAAAAAACTCTGGGCCTCCCTGATGGCACAGGGGTTCAAGCCTCAGTGCTATCACCAGCCATTACTGCCTGAGTTCGATCCCTGCCCCGGAGCTGACCCACATGGCGCGGCAGACCTCTCCTGACCCGCCCGCTGCTCCCCCCAGCAGTGTACTTCAGTGCATTCACCTTGTTTTGCTCCCTATTTTGTCTCTGGTGAATCCTTTCACCTCCTGTACCTCTGGCTTATACCCACTTCTTGTATGCATAAATAAAAATAAATCTATAAAAAAATTAATAATTAAAACAAAAAATTCTACCTTAAGTATAAGTGCAAGATAATATAAGTGGGGTTTTCAAAGTTAATTTTGATTTAAAATTATGTCCATTTTTCTTATTAAAACAGGGCTGAAAATTTCATAAACTTCTAGAAAAAGAAATGTTGCCTCCTGCATAGGAGACAAAAGCAAAAAAGATCATGATTCACCAAATAGCCCGCCCTCTGTGCAGGCACGTGAACTAGGCTCTGGAACTTACCATGGCAATGCCATGAGCTCCGCGTGGCCGTGGTCTGTGAGGTACAGGGGAGCGGCCGTTTCTGCTGGAGCAGCGGCCTTTGGGCCCTTCCTGACCTGCGTTGCTCAGCAGAGGCTGGTGAGGCTGCCTGGGGAGGGCATGTGGCCAGCGTGGGGCTGACCCTTAGACTCCTTCGGTCTCCCCATCAGGGTCCTGAAAGGGGGTGTAGGTACGGGTTCAATAAATTATCTCAGATTTTTTCATGACACACTCCCGTGGTCCATTCTCAAGGAACTTTATCTTACGCATGCAAAGGGCTTCTGTTAGGGCACAAGGGGGTGCAGTGGCCAGTTAGGTTGTGACCTAATTATAAAGGGCCTGAAAAGTCAGGGAAGCAATGTTAGACCTGAAGAGTTAGGTACAGGGGGCCCAAAACAAAGAAAATCGTGCCAAAGAAAAGCTTGGGAGAAACCACCCTGGCGAGGGCCCAGCATCACTCAAAATGGGAAGAGGCTGGGAACAGGAAGAGCCGTTGAGTCATTGCATGCCACATGGTGCACAGAAGCACAGCCCAGATAAAAGAGTGGAGCACGGAGGGGACTGGTGGCAGCAGCAGGCGGATGCCAGTTTGATGCATGAGACACAGAGGCAGGCATCGGGCGTTTCAGAGCGCAGGTAGACTACAAACCTACCGACTTGTCGGGAGGAGGCGCGGGCTTGGAGAAGGAGGAATGAGGCAAGGGGTGGTCTTTACACAGGTTTAGTGTAAGGAACCAAGTGGGATGTCAGTGGAGATACCGAAAACATCCCGCAAAACTGGAACAGGATCAGGATTGGGGATTTAGACTGGGGAGCTCAGTAAGGGGTATCCCCACGCCTCTTGTGTTTTGTGGTTCTGGCATGATTCTAAGACCACTCCACTGCCGTCAGGCCATGGTCGCACATGGTGGACATTTTGATCGTTTGTAAATTGAAGGTCATCGCAAATAGGTGCATGTATCTACCACATTGTTGAGTATGTCCATGTATTTTTAACCACTGAACATGAACGCTGAGCACACTGCTTTGGGAGTTGAATTACAGCTTGACTAGCCTATCCGTGGGGAGGAGCTCTGGAGGAGTGAGATCTTGGGAGCTATTTCAGTAACATTAGAAAGAAGATTTGGAACATTAGAAAGAAGAAAGCATCATAATTATAGTGTGAGAGGCTCTTTGTCACCCTTACAACATGTCTTTGCCCAGTGAGCAGCAAAGAGGAGATGTGACACTGAGGTTGGCGGGCTGCGGTGACAGGTGGCTGCAGGCCTGGGCCGCCTGCACCGGTTGACGTGCGTCCCTGACCCGGGCGGCCTGGTCCCTCATCATGGTTCTCTCTCCTGCTACAGTGACGGAGAGTCAGCCTTTTTCTGCGGTCTTCCCTTTATCTTTTCTTTCTCTGATGAAGGACCCAAAGCAGCAGAAGATCTATGACCTATTCCAGAAGTCCTTTGAGGACGAGGGAAGTGACATGGAGCTCCTAGAGGCAGCAGAGTCCTTTGACCCAGGAAGTGCTTCCCTGGACTCTGGAATTGGTTCCCTGAACATGGAAGAAAGCACATCGACAGGCAGTTCATCAAAGAAAAGGAAATTTGAATATTCTGATAATTGGGACAGTTTTACCTCTCCCCTGTGAGCGGGGAAAAGAATACATTTAACAATCATGGAATTCGTTACAATAAAATGAGGATTATTTTAACGGTCGGCGCCTGTTGCTGTGACTGCAGCTCTGGGCTCGGTCTCTGCACAGCTGCTTGCTAGGCCAGATGCCGGCGTCTCCGTTCCAGCCTCCTGCAGGGGCTTGCTCGGGCCTTAGCTCTTCTGGCTGAGAAGTGGAGATGGTAGGTTGTAGGAGGAGTAATTGATGTTCTTCAAATAGCAAGGTGCTTTTAACACAGCCCTCGGAATTGGGATTTTAAAAAATGTATTGATGAAGCCAATGTTTGTGGAGCACCTGGGTGCCCGCACCTGTCCCCAGGGACAGGTAATCACGTCCCAAACCAAAGCGGAAAAGTACTTGTCTGTTTAGAGCTTATCCTATAATGGGAGTGGCTGTGGCTTCACTGGCCATGAAGAAAAATGAAGTAAGCTGAGGGCTTCAAGCAGGTGTGCCGGATCCTCATTAAAATAAAATGAGGTTTGACTTCACGGCCCAGCTGTCTCTGCAGGAGCTGCTCCGTGCTGCCGCTGTGGGGCGGGACCAGCCACACGTCATCCCACACTGGTGGCCCGTGGCTCTATCCCAGTAAGACATTAGAATTTGAATTTCATGTCCTTTTCAGTGTCACAAATTGTCACCCTTGATTTATTTTCAATCACTTAGAAACGTAAACACTGTACTTGGCTCGCAGGCCACGCGGTGAGATTGGGCTCTTCAGCCTTCATTCACCAGCCCTGGTTCACAGCAGCTCTGTCAGGTAGGAATCAAAAATGCCATGTAGTTTCAATGTCCTGCTTGAATACTTTTTAAAATAAAGATCAGATAAGTAACACGGAACCTAACCTGTTAATAATAGTCATTTCAACAAAATCATGGTTTTTATATTACAGAGAAATGTTACTATTCTCATGCTATCTTCAAAATCCAGTGTGTATCTGATGCTGACCACACACCACGAGCTGGACTAGCAGCTTCTGTGCGTGGCATGGGGGTACCTGACAGCTGGTCAAATTCTTCAGTCTCTTAAGAGGAAAAGGTTGGTGGCTCTCATCCCTGTTGTTAATAATTCCTTCTTCCTTCAGGGATGTGGCTTGTATACCTGGGTATGCTTTACAAGTGAAAGGCAGAAATGAAGTGTGGAGTTGATTTGCGATGTACGTGCGTGCTGTTGTCGCAAGAACTGGCGGTTGTGAGGCTCACACGGCCCTGCTGTTGTGCCGGGGGGCCCGAAACACGCAGTGCCCCGGTGGTCCTGGACGGCGTCGGAGCAGTCCCTGCTACAGAGAGGCTTTGCCCCGGGCCCTTGAGATCTGGAGCTCACGTCTGGAACTGTGATTACTTGTCTTTGTAGGAGCCTAGAGCCTCCTTCTGAGACCTCTGGTTGAACCTCAGTTTCAGTTGCTTTGCAGAAAAACCCTTCCTGAGATGTCCCTGAGGGTCTCTGAAGTAAATTTTATTTACACCAAGTAGCCTATATATTTTGAGTTGGAGCATCCCAACTGTGCCTCTGAAATCTGATGAGATCCGTCTCACCATTCTGTGTTACTCAGTAAGACCTGGACAGAGTCAGCACCTTTGGGTTTAAGGAAATATTTGGACACCCCTTTACCTCCTTTATTTTGCAGTTTACTCCAGCTACCCAGCCCCACCCCTCACCCCTGACCCCATCCTTGGCCTGCCCTCATTGGCCCCTTAAAGAGGTTTACTAAAGCCACTGCAGTTGCATGCGTCCTCCCCACAGGGTCGGTGAGTGGGCCCGAGTGACCCTGGTTAACTTCTGCTCCTGGGGCCTGTGGCTGGGTTCCTGCTGGCCTGGGCCCTCTTGTCTGGAATTGTTTCTTCTCCTTCGTGGTCTCCCCAAAGCCTTTTTCTGGAGCAAAGGGGAAACTGAGAAAGAGGTGCTGGCCCTGCCCTGCCGGCTCCTGGCTTTGTCCTGTCTGTGCATTCCTGCTTACTGGCATCTTAGTGCTTTCTGAAACTCTTTAGGTAACCTTTAAACTGTCAAAGGGAACAAAGGAATTCCCTTTACCCCTTACTTTGATTTTTATCCCATCCTCCTCTTACCAAGTTCAGGATCACAAAGTAAGAAAACGGTAGTTTAAAGGACAGACTTTTGTGCCCATGTTTTGTTTAGTTTTCCTGTAGAAAAGAAAAGAACTTGGGACCCAGGATAAACCCCTCTATCTCAGCAGGAGATGAATTTGGGATGATACTTGCACCTCAGATTTCTTTCAAGAATAAAATGTTCCATTTGTCCCCCAAGAGAAGCTGGTTGATTCAACAGCTAAAAGAACTCTTCTCTGGTGGTGACTTAAACATTTTTTTTTCTTTCAGTTTATTTATTTTTTAATAATAATTTATTTTTTCATATTTTTGTGCATTTTTACATCTCAGTTGCAATAAACTTATCTTTTGAAAGCGGAAAAGTGACTTTGGAGCGCCCCGGAGGAGCAGGGGTGACTCAGCAAAGACACTGAGACTTACACAGGTGCACATCCCAGTAACGGGCGCTACATCTGAGGTCCTCTGATGGGGAAGATTTACCAGCCCACAGGTAGGACAAACTGAGACACTAGGACAGGCACAATTCTCTGAAGCCACTTAGAAAAGCTTTCATGAGAGTGCTATTTGTGCATCCTCAAGCTTGCTATTTGAAGAGAATTGTTCGGTGTTGACAAAATTGCTCTGAACATGAAAAATTTCCTCTTCTTATGGAAGCTACTCAGTTCTTTTCCAGCTACTTAGTTGCAATTTTGTGTTGTTTCTCTCTATCCCCCCACTCCCCAGAAGGCTAGAGATGCAGGAGGCTATGCAGGGGTTGGGGTGGGGAAGTGACAGTTTGCTAACAGGTGATCTGGAGGAGACTGGGGTTCCGGGCTGCTCCTGCTGGAGGCTGCCTCCACTGATCCACTCGCCGGGGCAAGGCTGCACCACTCTTGCAAGCTCTGCAGGCAGACTGGAGCCCTCCTCCCACCAATCTCATTTGTTTGCACCAACAGAAATTATTTTTAGGGCCCTCCCTGGTGGCACAATAGGTTAAAGCACACATTATGAAACTGAAGCCACTGCAGCATGAGTTCCATCCCGGCCCAGGGGGGTGACCCACGTGGTGACCCACCTGCCCCACCAGCTACTTCCCTCAGCAGTGTATTTCTGAGCAGTGTATTTCAGCAGTCAATATGCCTGTTTTCTGTTCTCACCCTCCCGCATACCTCTAGCCTTTACCTTAGTTCTTGTATGCATAAATCAATTAATTAGAAATATGTATACATTTTTAATTTACAGTTTTCTGCAGCAGATCATAGTTTTGGTTGGGAGATTTCTGGACATCACTCCCAGAATGCAGTTTGTTTATATTTGGGGGAGAAGGGACTTGCTTCTTTGGTCCCCTGCCATCCTTCATCCCAAAGGAGGCTGTGCTGGAACAACGAATGGCCTCTTGTCTCTGGCCTCAGGTGGCAGTGGCCACAACAGCCACTGTGCATAAGTTAAAGACATTAAGGAGAAAAGAGATGGGCCTATTTTAAAGGGAAGGTGGAAGGCTGGTCTGCTGTATCCCCTGAGTATGACAGAGAGTATAACAGGATTGAAGATATCAAGAGACGTTGGAATCAGGTATCATCATCAGTTCAGCAATAATAATAATCACATTTAGAAATGCTCACTAGGGGACCCTCCCTGGTGGTTCAGCGAGTTAAAGCATAGGGCTAAGACGCTAAAGCCACTTCTGAATAAGTTCGATTCTGGCCTGTAGACCTCTCCTGACCCACCCGCTGCTCCCCTCAGCAGTGTACTTCATTGATCTGCTGGTTCTGCACCCCACTCTGTCTCTGGTGAAGCCTCTCACCGCTCCTGAGCCTCTGGCCTGTACCCCAGTTCTGTATGCACAAACAAATAAATCTTTAAAAAACAAAAAAGAAAAGAAAAGAAATGCTCATTAGGGGCCCCATTAAAGTTGTTTCATCCTCCCAGGGACACTCTGACGTGTATAGTACACTCTTTACAGCTGGAAACAGACTTGAAGGCTTGACCCTTGTGACTCAGTTGAACAGGCTCTGGCCCAAGTCATTCACTCTGACCTTGAGTGAGTTTTTTGACCTTGAGTCTCAGTTTCTAGTTTGGCCTAGACTACCTGTCTTCTTCAGCCCTGACATAAGTGGATTGACCCTGTAAAGCAAAGAAACCGAGACAGAACCCTCTGTAAGCCTCCGACCACCACCACACCATGCCCGGCCATACTCTAGTCTGCAGGCATTAGGGGGCAGCCAGCCAGATTCTGTGCTGGCCGCTTGATGCAGCAGTGGGCAACATGGGCCTGCCCCTTGTGGAGTTGGCTTGTGGTGGCCCTGGGGGTGGTTTTTGTTTTTAACAGATAGTACTTTTTAGGAAAGTTTACATCACCAGAAAAAAATGAGTTAGTACGGACAGTTCCTGTATGCTTTTCCCCCGTTTCCCCTATTATTACCATTTAGCGTTACTGCTGGACATTTGCTGCAATTAATGAACCCATACTATTATTAACGACAGTCTACAGATTATTCAGTTCTTGTCTCTACAATGCTTAGTCAGGGTAAATATGGCGCAGACCTTTCTTGCCACCCTCAATATCCCCGGGAGGCCGCGGGTGCGAGAAAACCTCCGGACCATAGAGACCAGCGCCTAGCTGGGTCTCCTAAACGTCACTTCCGCTCGCCCGTCTAAAACCGCGCCTGCGCACTGCATCTCTTCCTCTCTGGGCGCTCACCTAGTGTACGGCGACATGGTGAGTACCCGGCCGGTGAGGCCTTACATGTCTATCCACAAGCATCTGTCTTTTTCTTTGTTTCTTCGTCCTGCCCCGCTTCTCCTTACAGCCCTGTGCTTGGTCCCCCACGCCTTCGTACGTTTGCCGCCGCCTTCTAGCTCACCAAGGCGGAGCCACGGAGTGGCTTGGCTGAGAGTGACCCAGCGGGCGGGGTGGCGGGTGCCCTCGGAGCGCGGACCGACCCTGGGACTCGTCTTATAAGGGTGGATTTAGGGACGGGGGGGCCGGTGCTAGGTTACAGGCCGGATTGGGTGGGTGGGAAAATGTGCGGAAGCCCCGACGTGGGGGTGGGGCAGAGTCTCCCGTGAGGTCCCGTTTGGGGTTCCTGATGTCTACTTTCTTCTAATTCACCCTTAACAGGCCAAACGTACCAAGAAGGTGGGGATCGTCGGTAAATACGGGACCCGTTATGGTGCCTCCCTCAGAAAAATGGTGAAGAAAATTGAAATCAGCCAGCACGCCAAGTACACTTGCTCCTTTTGTGGCAAAGTAAGATTCAAGTTTGTAAATGGTAGGATGGTTCTGAGTCGTAGTTAGAATATCCGATGCAAACATTGCGATAACTATTTTCATGCCCATATTTTCCATTTAAAAAGGGAGACCTTTTGGTGCAGAAGGGTTAAAATACTGGGTTAAAAAGGAGAACGAGCAATTCGGGGTGGCGTCACTTCTATGTGGAATATAGAGAAGCTAAACAAACGGCCGAAGACAAACATTAAAAACAGCCCTGATGTAGTGGGAAGGTTCTTTCACATCCCTGCTGTACCCATGGGGAAAGCGTCTTGTGCCCTTGAAAGCTGGAGCAAGTGTTGCACAAGCTTGTGAGGTGCACCAGTTCCAGTTTTCTGTTGCACTGGGACTCCTGGGCGTTGGAGGCTTCCCTGGCTTACAGCAGAAACTGGTGTCTCTTGCAGACCAAGATGAAGAGGCGAGCTGTGGGGATCTGGCACTGTGGTTCCTGCATGAAAACGGTGGCAGGTGGAGCCTGGACCTATAAGTAAGTCCTTTGCTGTGGTATCGGGACCTTGTGGCTTGTCAGGCTCCAGGTTTGACATTGGGGGATTCGGGTGGGGCTTGGTTTTAAGTCTTGAGGATGGAAAAGAAGGATGCTTTTGTTTGTGAGGTGAGTAGGGTTTACTTGCAGCGTAATCAGACTAGAAACAGCTGTTGAAACCAAAAAGTCACCCATTTTATACAGTTTTGAGCTGAACCTGTATTAATCTTGGCTTGCAAGCTGTGTGTAGACATGAGGGTGCAGGTTAGCTTCACCTACTGTGTATGGTCACCTGGGCTGCCACGCCTTTGCCTTTCTGATTGGTGTTGGTTGGACTTCTTCGACTTGCAGCCCTGGCACAGGCCAGGTGATGTTTGGTAAGCCTCTTCGCTGCTTTTGATTGTGCCGACCTTTAACTTTATCCATGTCTGGAAATTAAAACTGCTCTTGGAGGTTTCTAGTCTTGGAATATTTGCTTAGTAATGAAAGTTGCAGTTTTCTTTTAGCTGGTGTTTAGACTTGCGTCGTTTACAAATGAGCATTTTGTAGAGATTGTATGAGGGGAAGTAGAGGCCTTTCATAGTTGTGATAGTAAAATGAGTAGTTTTTATATGTCCAGCTGTGGGGTGGAGTGGCAAGACTTGCCTGTAAGCGTTTTAACGTCCTTTCCAAAGTGGTCATCTTTATTGCTTTAGACGTTGCTTTTTGATAGCTCACTTTCCATACCATTTTATAATTAGTTGCTTCTAACATTTTGACCGCCATCCTTTTTAATGAATTTGGGTCTCTTGCTGCTATCTCTTCAGATTAATATTTTTATGCTCTGTTGGCTGAGAAATCAGAAGCGTGAAATTGCCTGTCAAATTCTGCAAGGAATTGAAGACAGTCCTTAAAAGATAACATTTTGATTATGATGTAACGATGACTGCTCATTTACATTTCACCTGTAAACTTAGTGAATTATGTTAGAAACCAGATTTGTTTTTCTCCCCAGCACCACTTCCGCTGTCACAGTAAAGTCTGCCATCAGAAGACTGAAGGAATTGAAAGACCAGTAGAAGTTCTACGATGTGGAAATTGCGAGCCTATAATAAATGGGTTAATTTATGTAACGGAATTGCTTGGATTTCTTCGTGTTCTACATGCATTAATTTTGCTTCTCAAGCAAGTCTCAAAGACTTATTAATTAAAATACTTGATTAGACCAGTATACTGAGGGATGTTACATCCAGTACTATTCAGTAGAATGATAACATGACTAAAAACCATACAGCTTAGGCACATGCTTAGCACGTCACAGTTAATGTTTTAAAACTTCAAATACTAGGATGACACTAATAACCACACTAGAATTTCAGAACAGATTTTGCAGCTGCTACCTCACTCTCCATTGTTCATTTGCACATGATTACTCATGATTGGGTTATTAAGTTGATATGTGTGCACAGTAACAGGAATTCCTCCTTGGAGAACTCTAGAGCAGTGGGGTTAGGATCTAGTCTTTATTCAGTCTCACTTAATTCTCTTAGCTTTACCGGTTGACCTATTCTCTAGTGTCTGGACTATGCCATTGAAGTAGCAAGCAGAAAGGGGCCTCTTGGGGTACTCGCATCACCTTTATGCCTTGTGCTGGTCCCCTTCTAGTGTGGGCTTTCCTGGTGGGCTCCTGCCGTTGGCTTCTGGTTTGGTTCAGTAAATGGGGCGGGGCGGGGGGGGCGGAAGGTGGTGGAGACTTGCACATAAATGATTCTTTTCCTGCTCCTTCAGTTACTGAAGGCTGCAGACCCAGTGAGTTGACTATCTCCAGCTACTTGAGTACCTCTTTCCCCTTGTTCCTTCAGGGAGGGGAGCGCCGTGCCCCTCAGTTACTAGATGTAGAGGCCGCCTCCACTGCCGAGTCCCCTTAGCGCTGCTGCTCTGTTGGTCCCTTGAGTCAGCGCAGCTGTCTCGAGTCTTCTGTTTTCTTTTAGGACCCCCTGACCAAGTATGTTTCAGGTATCTTTTTATTTACCTTTCTGGAGCTGAAATTCTGTGCCATCTATTAGACATTTTCCCTCCCCAAATCTTTTCCATTCCATTTGGTAATGAGATTACCAATAACAAGATTCCTTCTGTTGGCCAAACACAAGTGGTTAAGTTGCAGCACTGACACTGACCTGCGGTGATTTTCACCCCAGCCAGGGACCTGACCCACAAGCTTCTGCAGCCCTTTCCAGTCTCACGCACTGCTCCCCCCAGCAGTGTAATCTCAGTAGATAGGCCTGTTCTCCCCACTCCGGTGATTCACCACGCCACACCTCCCACCCCCTCTACCTCTGGTCTACACTCCAGCTCTTGTGTGGGTAACGTAAAAATCTACCCTGTTGGTAAACTGATCAAATTACTTCTGGGAACTTAGAAATGGGCAGAATTACATGGTTCGTGGAGTTGAGTCGGGGAAGTGCCCTTAGAAACACTGAATTTCTGCCTCAGAAGACTCGAAGTGGCAGTGGTTCTGTGGTTGTAAGCTCTCCCTTTGGGCGAGGCCAGTATCAAGTAAATGCCAGTGAGTTACAGTCTTAAGCAAGTTTTAAACTAGCCGTGAGGATTGAGGATGAGTGTACCAGTCGCTGCTCTGTGACTGAATTTAGTTAGAATTAGGTGGGCCTTAGCTGCCTGTGTGAGGCAAATGCAAACCCAAGAAGATGCTGTTCACATCAGGAAATCTATACTTTTCTTTACATAGGAGTCTGGCAAGTGCAAATAACCCAGGTGCCCAAGGGTTTTGATCATTACAGGATGGAAGCAATGGGCTGCTGGTCACAGGGTATCCAAGTAATAAGTCTACGACAGACCAAGTGTGACGAGACCAAGAACTTAGGGCAGTTGACACTTTCTGTCCTTATACTTTTTAACTAAAATTACAACTTAATGGGTGAATTTAACTGTAAAAAGGCTCAGTGAATTAGAAGCTAAATCAAGTGCTGAGTATCCTGACAAAATCACCAAAGCGGGCTGGGGCAGCCAGAGTGTAAAGGAGTGAGTGTAAGCAACAGCAGGGGATGGGAGCTCTGGTCATCACTGATTGGAGTCGGAGGGGAGATGACTGCCTAAGGACTGTAGAGCCGATGCAGAATGCCAGGCCAAGATTCGAGGATTCCTGTAAACCTTAGGCTAAATAGACGGTCACCTACAGCTACAGCTAGGGTGAGGGCCGAAGCCTAAGGGGTATCTTCACTGAAAGCAGGTAGAAGCAAAAGGAGCCCCACCAGGGTGGTCAAGTTGTTAACAAGACTAGAAGACAACAGATGCAAACACTTCAAGTTCTGTACTCCGACCGTATCCTGTACGTACAAAAGTGAAGTCAAAATAGAAAAACCACTGAACATTGTATGTTAAATGTACACATTGGACAGAGTAAGTCTCTGAAGAAATAAAGGTCCAAGAGGAATAAAGTCAACAGAAGGGAGAAATAAGTGAATATAAACTACTGCGGTGGGACGCTGTGGGCACAGGGTTAGAATGAAAAATGTTGCAGCACTGCATGGGAGAAGAAAGGGAAAACTTGAAATAGTCTAAGGTTCTTACGTTGCTTGGGAAGGGTTCAGGCTACAAATGTTGGCAGTCATTAAAATAATAGGAATAGTGGTGGCACAATGGGTTAAAGCACTGCATTATGAAGCTCTCTGAAGCCACTGTAGCATGAGTTTGATCCCTGGCCAGGGAGCTGACCCACGGGCGCGGCAGACCTCTCCTGACCTGCCCACTGCTCCCCTCAGCAGTGTACTTTGTCAATCTGCCAGTTCTGCTCTCCACTCTGCCTCTGCACCTCTGGCCTGTACCCCAGTTGTAAATCTTTAATAATAATAGGCATAGGGCCCTCTCTGGTGGTGCAGTGGGTTTAAGCACAGCAGTAAGAAGCTAAAGCCACTTCAGCATGAGTTCAATTCCTGGCTAGGGAGGTGACCCACATGGCACAGCAGACCTCTCCTGACCCGCCTGCTGCTCCCCTCAACAGTGTACTTTGTCCCAATGCTAGTTCTGCTCCCCACTCTGTCTCTGGTGAATCCTCTCACCACCTCCACACCTCTGGCCTGTAACTCAATTATGCATGCATGCATAAATAAATCTTTTAAAAAAATAATAGGAATAATGTATAATATACAGTGGAAATAAATTTCAAATGTGCTCAATCCAAACAGGAAAAGAACTAGTAGGGACAAATTGGGGTTAGATGGTAGATTTAAATGTATGTAATATACACATTTGTATGTGTATGTATATACACACACACGTATATCTGAAATAATACCACAAAAGATAAATCAGTTAAAACAAAGATAACTAAATTGGATTATATATGTGAAGTAAAGGATTAAAGACATAGAGACTAAGGAGTCAGATATAAATGATACAGGAACACAGATACTGAACAAAAATACAGAAAGGTTTGAAGTAAAAGGATGAAAAGAGAAAACCTGTAGACATTAATCCATGGAACAAAACTTAGTATTTGACAAAGGACTTCAAAGGTAGAACAGCACTGCTGGAGACAGAGAGACACTTATTTATTTTAAAGATTCATGCACATAAGAACTGGGGTACAGGCCAGAGGCTCAGGGGGTGAGAGGATTCACTAGAGACAGAGCAGGGAGCAGAGCAAGCAGATCCACTGAAACATACTGCTGAGGGGAGCAGTGGGTGAGACAGGAGAGGCCTCTGTGCCGTGTGGGTCAGCTCCCTGGCTGGGGATCAAACTCTTGCCACAGTGGCTGTGGAGGCTTCGTAGTGCTGTGCTTTAACCGCTTGTGCCACCAGGAAGGACTCCAGAGAGGGATATTGACTTTGTTAAACAAAGCAAAAGTTGTGCAAGATTTTTCAGCCTTTCGGGGCCATTGACAGACATGAAACACAGATATGTAGGCGGTGACAGCCCTTGATGTTCTTGAGAAAAACTGAAGAACAGGTTAGAGAAATGATAAATCCTACAAAATCAATACAATAACTGGGAAACGCTAGTTGTAGTTGTCATAAGCTAGAAACTTGAATTAGTTAATTTCTAATTAATATCCCTATGAAACAAAAACAAGTGTTTCAGCATCTTGAGATAGTAGTAGATGTTAATTGTTAAAAATTACCAAGTTAAACTTGAACCATTGCCGTTATTTATGATTTGTCCTTTATTCCTGAAGCCTGCTGCTCCATTCTATTTTCTTGAGTGGTGTTAAATATTCACGATGCTGTAAATATTTGTCAACTGGGGAACATTAGTCATCGTTGTGTGGATCAGTAAGTTCATGCTCTATTTTGTGTAGGGACAACCACCTTTATAAGATGTCACAATATTGTCACCGTTCTCTAAATATTTTGGAAGGTCTTAGAACTCTGTGAATTTACATAGATCACTTACATAGTGGATCTTACATAGATTTCCATAGATTCCTAATTAGAAATCAAGAAAGTACTTGTCTGCAGGTGTTACTCATTCCATCAACCAGAGAAATGTGTGTGCAAACATTGGCTGTAAGCATCAAAGATGCCGCTAGAGGGCGACACAGTATAACTAATGATAGCAGCAAAGCATGAGGCCTGCCCTTGGTGAGGGGCATAGAAAATGATTCAGAGTTTGTGTAAAACTACAATTTGTAAGCACCGAGTTATTTTCAAATTTCCAAAGTGCCATAACTTGACCTAACAGACTAAGGTAAAGAGAAAAGGAGACCAAAGGAGTTAATTGCAGGTCTTCAGTGACAAACAACCCATATAACATATAATTAAGATGAGCTTGGATATATTTTCTAGGGTCTGCTTGTTTAGAGAGAAAATTTTAATTTAGCATTTCACTTTGTTGATAATGTTAAAAATTATTTCACCCATTGTAAAACCAAAACTCTTCTGCAAGGATAATGCATTGTTAAAATTTAATTGAATGAGTTTATTTATCAAACCTTTTCACTAAGGTATGCAGGTCTCTGCCATATTTTCTGCGTTAAAGGTTTTTTTTTCCTTTTGCAAAGGTCAGTACAGGGAAGAAGCATTAGATGCTTCACCCTGAACACGGAGCTCAGTCATTTGAGTAACTGGAGCAATGAAAACAGGAGTCAATGCAAAGAACTTCCAAAAGGGAGCAGAAGGTGA